GATGTTAACAATGCCTATAAAAACACAGGAAATAAATATCTCACTCAAGCAAAACCAAAAGAAGGGAAGCATACACTTATACACACACCACCACCAATAATAACAATAACAAAATAACAAGAATTAAAAGTCATTGGTCAATGATATCTCTCAGTATCAATGGACTCTATTTCCTAAGGAAAACACACAGAATAACGAAATGGAAGCAAAACCAGGATCATCCATCCCTCTGCTGCATACAAAAAACACACCTCAATATCAAAGATAGACATTACCTCAGAGTAAAGGGTTGGAAAAAGATATTCCAAGCAAATGAACCTAAGAAGCAACCTTGAGTAGGCATTCTAATATTTAACAAAATAGGCTTCAAACCAAAATTAATCAAAAGAGACTGGGAGGGACACTTCATACTCATCAAAGGAAAAATCCACCAAGATGACATTTCAATTCTTAGCATCTATTCTCCAAATTCAAGGACACCCATGTTTGTAAAGAAACACTACTAAAACATAAATCACACATCTACCCTCACACGTTGATAGTGAGACGCTGCAATACCCAACTCTTACCAACAAATAGGTCATCCAGACAAAAGCTAAACAGACAAATAATGGACCTAACAGACATTATGAACCAAATGGAGCTAACAGTTATCTACAGAGCATTTTCACCCAAACACAAAAGAATAAACCTTCTTCTCAAAGCATCACAGAGCCTTCTCCAAAGTTGACCACATACTGGGTAACAAAGCAGTTTCAACAGATACAAAAAAAATATGGAATAACCCCCTGCATCCTATCAGACCACCACAGATTAAAACTGGATTTCAACAGCAACAGAAATAAAAGAAAACTTACAAACTCATAGAAACTGCACAACTCTTTGTTGAATGACTGATGGATCAAGGCAGAAATAAAGTAAGAAATTAAAGACTTTGTAGAATTCAATTATAATGAATACACAACATACCTAAACCTATGGAACCCAATGAAAGCAGGGCTAAGAGGAAAACTCATAGCACTAAGTGCCTACATTAAAAAATTGGAGAGATCTCATACTAGGAACTTAACAGAACACCTGAAAACTCTAAAACAAAAAGAAGTGAACACACAAAAGAGGAGGAAACAACAGGAAATTATCAAACTGGGGGCTGAAATCAATAAAATAGAAACAGAGAATAATTGAAGAGTCAATGAAAGAGCCAAACATTAGACAGATCTTTTGGAACCCCACAGAAGTGGGGAAGGAAGGATCATAGGAGCCAGAGAGGTTGAGGATACCAGACTGTA